TTTCCCCAACATATTTTCCTGTAACTTCATAATCTCAACTCTTAAGCTTAGATCTTTGATTCATCTTGAGTTGATTATTGTACATGGTAAGAGGTCAGAACTTGATATCATTCTTTTCCAATTTTGCTTGCACGATTTATTGATGAGATTATTTTTTCTCCAATGTGTGATCTGGACACTTAGTCAAAAACTAGTTAGTTTAATGTGTGTGGATTTATCCCTGGGCTCTCTAGTCTGTTCCATTGATCTATGTGTCGGCTCAGTTTTAATGCAGTACCATGATTTTCTTTCTTTTTTTGAAAAAGATTTAATTAATTTATTTGAAAGTTAGAGTTACACAGAGAGAGAAGGAGAGGCAGAGAGAGAGAATCTTCCATCCACTTGTTCACCCATTCAATTGGCCACAACGGTTGGAGCTATGCTGATCTGAAGCCAGGAGCCAGGAGCTTCTTCTAGGTCTCTTACATGGGTGCAAGAGCCCAAGGACCTGGGCCAACTTCTACTGCTTTCCCATGCTACAGCAGAGAGACAGGTCAGAAGTGGAGCAGCTGGGACATGAACCTGCACCCATAAGGGATGCTGACACTACAGGTGGTTGCTTTAGCCACTATGCCACAGCACTGGCTCCCCCATGATTTTCCTTTTAAAAAATATTTATTTATTTATTTGAAAGGCAGAGTTAGAGAGAGAGAGAGAGAGAGAGAGAGGTCTTCTACCAGCTGGTTCACTGGTTACTCCCTAAATGGCTGAAATGGCCAGAGCTCAGCCCATATGCATGAAGCCAGGAGCCAGGAGCTTTTTCCAAGTCTTCCACATGGGTACAGGGGCCCAAGGATTTGAGCCATCATCTGCAGCTTTTCTGGGCACATTAGCAAGAAATTAGATCAGAAGTGGAGCAACCAGGTACCAGAACCAGCACCCATATGGGATGTCAGCACTGCTGGTAGCAATTTATCTGTTATGCAACAGTGTGATATTTTAATTACTGTAGCTTTGTACTGTACACAATAACCAAAATATAGAGTCAGTCAAGGTAGCCACAATTAGATGAATGGACAAAGGGAATATAGTATACATACACAATGGAATATTGTTCAGCTAGAAAAAAGTTTAAATTCTACCATTTGCATAAAAATGTATGCAATTGGGGGAACCTCATGTAAAATGAAATTAGCTAGATACAGAAAGACTAATACCACATGTTCTTCCTCAAATGTGGGAACTAAAGAAAATGAAAAAAAAAACACACAAAAAAACAAAAAATAAAAAATAAATAAATGTAAATAAATGTTTGTGTATCAGTATGGCTGCAAATATAGCTTTGCCAAGCTTTATTTTATATCTTTCTCCAAACAATGGTTAAGAATGATAGTATAGTATTAATGATCTGTTATTATTTTCAGGTATATTGCATAAGAGTGAAATTGGCATTTTTTCATTTGATTATTGCTAATAGCCCTTACCTATATTCCTGCTGAACCACAAGCATTTTACTTTCTTATAGTGGAGCATTCTTTAGTGCACATCAAGTTTTTCACTATAATTTAAATTAGAAGTATGTTATCTCTGGGTCGGCACTGTGGTGTAGCAGGTAAAGCCTTTCTTTAAAAATAAAAATAAATAAAATGGGTTTTTTAAAAAGCGTATGTTGGAGTATATTCTCATAGTGATTAGTGTGGTTATTCCTTTTTCCTTGATTATTCACCTCTCTCTGAGTTTAAATAACTGTAGATCTGATGCAGCTTGAGACAATTAGACCTGGAACTGTAAAAAGTTTGTTATGATCTTACATAAATTTAATGAGGAAGATTTCTATTCCCTAGTGAGGTTCATTAGTGAAAATACTAAAAAGTATTGGACTTAAAGTTAATCATAAGAATGTTTTATAATCCTCGGTGATATTCAGATCTGTCACCTTGCTTTGAATGAGATTTACAATGGAGAGACTAAAAATATTAAAATCCTTATTTTTTCATGAAATTATAAGTGTGGTAGAAGCATTGACAGTTCATGGAACTTAGTCTTACATTTTAGTTATATGTACCCAAACTGGCCCAAATAGATAAAGTTTTGTCCTATTTTAGTATATCTCTGCTGAAGAAAAAATTAACTCTATTTTCAGAAATTTTCTTTCAACAGTACCAATTTCAACACAGTTGGGAGTGTTCGTTGTAATAGATATTTGAGATTATTCAACATATGTTGAATTACAGAATGATTGTAAGTCTCATTTGACATGAAATGGAGAAATGTACATATTATAAATATATATTAAAGGTAACTTCAACATATCTTTACCTTTTCTAAACTAAAGTTCTTACAATTTTTTTAATTTCTTTTTATTGTAACCTATTAAGTTCTAAATGTTTAAAAAATTAGTCTTGGGGCCAGCGCTGTGGTGTAGTGGGTAAAGCTGCCGCCTGCAGTTACAGCATCCCATTTGGGCACTGGTTGGAGTCTGGCTGCTTTACACCCGATCCAGCTCTCTGCTATGTCCTGGGAAAGCAGTAGAATATGGCCCAAGTCCTTGGGCCCCTGCATCCACGTGGGAGACGCGGAAGAAGCTCCTGGCTCCTGGCTTTGGATAGGTGCAGCACAGGCCATTAAAGCCAATTGTGGAGTGAACCAGCAGAGGGAAGGCCTCTCTCTCTCTCTCTCTCTCTCTGCCTCTCCTCTCTCTGTGTAACTCTGATTGTTGAATAAATAAATAAATCTTTTACAAATTAGTCTTTAAAATTTGATTTTTAAACAGAAATAATTTTCTGTAATGAAATAATTTGTGTTCCCACCAAAGAGCTTTCAAATGTCTTCTTTTCTACATCCTAATTCCCACATTTTTATTTTTTTTACTTTCTTTCATAAGCTTTCATCAGAAAAAAAATTGACCAGTTAGATTCATTTCTGAAATTCAAGGCTGTATCATAACTTGTCCAACCATCAATATAAATATTTCCATTTAGAGTAGACTGCATTCATTTTTGCTAATTTTCTTTAATTTTATGAATTCCCTTTCTTCTACATAATTCAAATATTATGTTAGAAAATTGAAAAGTTTATAGTGGAAATAAAGTGACACTATGATATTGAAAAAATGTGAAATATTTTAACATGAAGTATTGGTAATTTTTAAAAATTTTGCAAATCATAAGATAAATTTTCACTTATTTTATATGCTGGAAATAGATATTTCCCATAACTGCAGTGATCACACATTTAATTTTTCTAAGGGATGAAATCAGTGTAATAGCTAGTTTTTTAGAACAAGCGGCTCTCAAATGTCATCAATGATTCCTTCATTTCGGTATCTAGGCCACTGTGGAGTTGCCTGACACACTGATTAGGGCTCTCTTTTATAAGAAATGTTATAGAAATGTGACTTCCAAGGCCTTTTCATATAAGACATTGGTACTTCCACCATGTTCGCTTTTGGGTCACTAGCTCTGGAAAAATTAAATGCCATGCTGTAAGCAAACTTGAGCAGGCGTATGGAAACATTCAGATGGCAAAAATGATACCTTCTACCAACAACCAGCACTGACTTGCCAGGCTTTTGGGCCAGCATTGTTGGAAGCACACTTGCTAGTTCCAGTGAACCCTTCGATGATAGCTCTTCTCATCTATTAACAACTATCTCAAGACCCTAAGTCAGACACATGAAGAGACTGCAGTTAGATATGTGTGAGATTTTACACATAGATATGATTTTAAGATCCTAGTTTCCAGAGGAGTTTCTTTTTAAAAGCAATTTACTTATTTATTTGAAAGACAGAGTTACAGAGAGAAGGACAGACAGAAAAGAAAGATTTTCCATCTGCTGGTTCACTCCCCAAATGGCTGCAACAGCCAGCGCTGGGTCAAGCTGAAGCCAGGAGACAGCAGCTTCATCAGGGTCTCCCATGTGGGTGCAGCAGTCCAAGTATTTGGGCCATCCTACCCTGCTTTCCCTGGCACATTAGCAAGGAACCGGATCGGAAGTGGAGCAGGTGGGACTTGAACCCGTGTCCCAAAGGAATTCTGGCATTGCAGGTGGCAGCTTAACTTGCCTCCACAGTGTTGGTGTGAATTTGTTAATTAGCAATAGATAACTAATACACTACTCTTATCACTATGAAGAAATAATAGGAAAAGATTGGTTTATCTTCTTTCTTATTATAAAAGGGAATCAATACCTTATTTCCAGAAAACAGTTTTACATTTGATACAATACAAATCAGATGATGCAATGTTGTATTTTTGTAACAGAATGCAAAAGAATCAACAAACAACTTGATACAAATGTCTCCTTTCCTAATGATCAAATCATCCTCTTATTGTTAGTGGATGAGTAAGTAAAATGATAGGTAAGTGATGCTATTTATCAGTTAATGAAAACATGAATAACTGAGTTATATGATTGCAAAATCTTTTAAATTATTTAAATTTAAGAAGTACAATGTATTTTGATATACATAGTGTAGAGGTTGATTGCAACAGTCAAGTAAATTAGCATATCCATCATTTCACATAATTACCATTTGTGTTTTTATAGTAAGAGTAATTCAAATCTACTGTGTTAGCACACTCTCCATATATAATACAATATTACTAACTTTAATCCTCATACTGTACATGGATCACTAGATTTATTCATCCAACATACTACAATTTAGGATATCCCATTAGTACAAATAAGTACCTCTGGATTTCTGGAAACTGAGGTAATTATAGACAGAAGTATGAAACACATATACACAGGGTTTTATAATGAATGAAGGGGATTAAACAAAATCCCCACATGTGTCTGATTGGTGTGATAAACTACACAGAATCAAAAATACTGAATAGGTGCATACCCATACTTACATTGCACTTGATAAGAGATATATCTAAGACTGTGAGGATAGAATAATCACCACCATCATTCCACATACATCACAAATTGGAACTCAGATAAATGAACAAGCCTATTGAGTACAGTGCAAACACGTCCACTCCACATGTGGTGTCGTTGTATACTATACACCCGTGCTACCAGGGGAGGATTTTAAATCAAACAAGAGTTTGTCAACTCATGTTTCTGTTGTTTCAGTCCCTTCTCCTCCTCCTTTCTTTTCCTCTGTTCTTCCCTTGCTTTTCTTCTTTCATTTTCCAAGATGATTGACACACACAGAATTTGCTTCAGGAACTCTTAGAAGACTTTCTGACTTTACTCATCACAAATCAGTTTTTTGTTTGTGAAAGATTTATACTTTACTTGAGAGTGATTTCTAACACAAGCAATGTCACACTGGACCTGGCAGAATTAGAGGGAAAAGCATTCATCAGATGGGAATGGGGGTGGAGACTCCAGGTTCACAAGCAGCTGTGGCAAGTTCACAGGCCAGACCTCAGAAGCAGTTAGTCATTTACCGTAAACCAGTGTACTGGTCAAAATGTTCCTTCCCACTGAGATAAAAGACACTTTCTAAGTTTTTATCTCTACAGTTCTATCCTTGTATTTTCTTCTCATTGCATTGATTTGTCTTTATATTTTTGCCATTTCTACAGTACTTACGAGTTTAGTTTTACTGCTGGTGTTGTACAGGTTTTCATACATTTTTCAACTTGCAATTCTCATGTTTTTTGATACTTCCAGGTAATATTTTGGATAATCTTATCGAATTACTAAATAAAAATTATGGGAGTTTGAAATTATGCTTGAATAATATGTACAGATAAAAGAGGAAATAAGACTGCTTAACAAGATCATGTTTTTCACCCACGACTAAGGTAAGAATCTTTCTATATTTTATTTCTTATTTTTTATGTCCTATCATAAACTTTACTGATTTTTCAGGCAAGTCTAGTTTTTACTTCTCCTATTTATAACTGTTCATAAAGTTTAATATAAAGTCTTTTATGTGTGTATGTGTATAGATTTGTGCATGTGCATTTGTGTGTATGTGTATATAGTTGGGGATACTTACTGAACTAATAGGATTTCTGATTTTAGTTTCAATGCATAATGATGGTTTTAATTCTTGTTAGAAAAATTCTCATTGTCTGCATGTGAGGTGCCTTAAATACCAAATAGTCTGGCTGATTAAAGCACTTCCAAGTATCAGCAGTATAGAAATTCAGTAAGTTAATTAAAATGATGAATATTAGGCCATATTGAAAATATATTGATGAAAATTCTGCAGCCTCCAAGATAACCAAGGATATGGAAGTTCATTATTTTCTCAGAAATAGTTTTCTATATGAGGTACCTCTCCTTTAAAATAAATTATCCTGGGGATGGCACTGTGGCGTCATGGGTTAAAGCATCCTCCTGCAGCACTGGCATCCTATGTGCGTGCCAGTTCGAGTCCCAGCTGCTCCACTTCTGATCCAGCTTCCTGCTGGTGGTCTGAGAAAGCAGTAAAGGATGGCCCAACTGTTTGGGCCTCTGCAGCCATGTTGGAGACCCAGAGGAAGCTTTTGACTCCTAGCTTCAGATCAGCTCCGGCCGTTGCTGCCATTTGGGGAGCGAGCCAGTGGATGGAAGACCTCTCTCTCTTTGTCTCTCCTTCTCTCTTTCTGTAACTCTGTCTCTTAAATAAATAAATAAACTTTAAAAAAGGTAAATTATTCTTACAGTTTTTAGGAAAAGCTCTTCTTGGACAATATTATTCATTATTTGCCTTATTATTGCTTTATTTGTATTGTACTCTTTTATGCCACTCTAGCAGATAGTTTGTATTTTTTGATGTTACCTGTACATATACATATACAGAAACATATATGCACACAATTTTGGAAACATCTTCTTAAAATTATCATATTTGTGAAGATTGTGTTAAAATTATTTTGTATATGACTGAACATTGTAATATATATGAACATCTATTTTTAATCTTTGTGAGGAATGCCAATATTTGCTCATTAATCTAAATATCATTCACAAAATTTAGACTGTTGTACTTTTGTCAGTTTTTTAGATAATAATTTGTTTACCATGAAGTTGGCCCTATTTAGATGTAGTTGATGGCAAGGAATTCTGTCTTTGCTGCACAGATTAAACACTCTTATTTTAAATGAGTATGCATTACTTTTCTAGAAATGTGAACTTTTTAATTTATTTCAAAAATAGTCATTAAAGTAACAGGTAAATGCAAAACTTTGTGTTTTAAATAATTTTTCAGCAAAATAAAACATTAAGTGTTTAAACATGCTGATTATGAATCTTTTTAAATTTACTTTTTAAATTAAATTTGTTTATTTGAAAGTCCAAGAGACAGAAAGAGAAGTAAAGAGAGCGCTCCCATCCACTGTATTGTCTTGTATCTTGGTCCCCCTCCCCCGCATAGGTGCAACAACCAGAATCAGGCTGCAACTAGAATCTGGGAACTCAATCCACATCTCCCACAAGAGTTCCAGTGGCCCAAGAGCCTGAGGCATCACTTTCTTCCCCAAGGATGCGCATTAGCAGGGAATTGAAATGGAGAGCAGAACAAAAGCTCAAACCCAGGTACTCTGGTATGTAATGTGGATGTCTCAAGCAGAGGTTTAACAGCTGTGCCAAACTCCTGAACAACTTATCTAAGTTTTGTGCAATCACTGTGAATGGTCTTTCTCATAGGTGTTCATAGACACATTTCAATGGGTTGGCAATATGCTCTAGACTTTATTCAATCAACATACCAGTTCAATTTGTCTTCAACATGGTTCTAAAGATACAAGTAAAATATTTTATTGTTTTCCAATTCACCATGTTCTCAATCTACTGAGTGTATTTTTTTCTCCTGATATTGTGTATACATTATCTTTTGCTTTATATTTGAAATGAATAATGTGCAACTCTCCTTTCTCTCATACTATGCAACACATGATTCTGAACTTGTTTACTTTTGATATAGTAACAACATACATACTATTAGTAAAATGGTGCATTCTTATCTGTGGTGCCATCGTAAGCCCCAAGCACCATCTTAGGCTCTGGACCCATCCTCATTTTGCACAGTTAGCATCAGTCCTAAGCCCATACTGACCTGCTAGAAGTCGGGTGACGAAATCGCCCAACCACAAACATTAGCTCCACACCTCCCTTAATGGGATTCGCTGCACCCACTTCCCTACCCCCTGCAAGAGTATAACAGGACATGCTTCCTGCACACGGGCTCTCTCTCTTGACCTCTCTCTTAATGCATTTTCCCTTCTCACCTCTGTCCCCCTCTCCCTCAGCTTGTGGGGTTTCTCCCACAGACAATAAACCCTTCCTTTAACTCTGGTGTTTGGTGTGTCTTGTGGTGTCCTTACACATATTAAACATTTGATTCTTCTTTTAAAAATGAAGAGTAAACAAAGAGAAAGCACATTCCAATGTATCAAGATGTTTATTCACATATTTTTACATATTAATAATAAAATTATTGGGGCCTGCGCTGTGGTGTAGCAGGCAAAGCCACCTACTGCAGTGCCAGCATCCCTCATGGGTGCTGGTTCGAGTCCTGGACACTCTACTTCCGATCCTGCTCTCTGCTATGGCCTGGGAAAGCGGTGGAAGACGGCCTGAGTCCTTGGGCCCCTGAACCCATATGTGAGACCTGGAAAATGCTCCTGGCTCCTGGCTTCAGATCTGCATGGCTCCGGCCATAGCAGCCAATTGAGGAGTGAACCAGTGGATGGAAGACCTCTCTCTCTCTCTCTCTCTCTCTGCCTCTCCTCCTTTCTCTGTGTAACTCTGACTTTCAAATAAATAAATCTTTAAAAAATAATAATAATAAATTATCGATCTGCAGTGCAATGTACTTAGTTAGCAGCTATTATTAATTTTAACTAGATTTTCTTTTTTCAGATTCATCTCCCTACCCTGTTTATAAAACAAATACTTTGTTCCAGGCTTATTTTCTGTGTGTACTTACATTATGAGTGTTTGAACATTGCAATTTCTATTATAAAGCTGTTGTAATTCCATTTAGAAATATTGATAAAATTTAATCAATCTCTTTCTTTAATGCCTTGGAGGTACTTTTTGCTTGTTTGCTTCCAATGTCTTCTTATAATCAATGAATGTGAAGTAGTTTGAAATTCAATATTGCTGGCAGTTTTCCTTTAACTGGTGGAACTAATGTTTGTAGCCCATAGTTTCCTATCACAGAAAAACTCTAAATTTTATTCCTACTTATTTAAAGTTTGAGGTCTGGGCAATTAATTCGAGAAGTACCTCAGTGTTGGTATGTGGTTATCACAACGTGCCAGAGAGTCAGAAATGGTTAACAAAGATTTTCCACATTTCAAAAAGAAAATACATTTAAGTAAGGACAATGCAAAGTTTCTGTATTTATGGAATATCTACTTAAAATTTTTTCTTACATATGGACAATATCACACATCAGAGTCAGGCTCATTCAGTAGAAATGAGAGATGGTTTTAAATGATTCTGGTGAATTATTTTATTGAGTGAAGTACGATTGTATTTTGGCTGAGGTGTGCTTCTCAATCACCTCATACTTTACAATGTTAGAAATAATGTGTGTTAAATGAGTTAATAAAAGTATATAAAAATTAAGGTATTACATCTTGTTTATATACTACTCAAACTTAAAAAAGAATGAAATCCTGTCTTTCACAACACAATGGATACAATTGGAAACTATTATGCTTAGTGAAATAAGTCAGTCCCCCAAAGACTAATGTCATATATTGTTCATGATTTGTGGTAATTAATATCCAGAACATAAAGATGTAATGTATATATGAGCAAAATTGACATTTTGATATTTGATTATTATTTATGACCCTGTCTATACTCTTGAGAAACAGTGCTTTTTCCACTTACTACATGTTGTTTCTTTATTTAGTGGAGGGTTAAGCTTGTTATTATAAAGTGAATTGAAAGTATGTCATTGTAAAATTTAAATAAAAATAGACAGGAAGGAGGAAGGAAAGGAGGGAGGGAGGGGAGGATAGGGAATATCATTATACTCTGAAAGCTGTATATATGAAGCACATAAATTTGTTTCACTTACATAAATTAAAAAGATATTACAAACATACAAATAAAATTTATGTATATACTACTATATAGCAGTGAAAGTAAGGAAAATACAGTTATACAATGCAACATGGATAAATCTTAGAAACTCATTAGCAAAAGCAACATAAAGGCAAGCACAAAATGTGATGCATGCTTACCAAATTGAAAACACCATAAATACATATGACTTCGAAAAACTGTTAGGTGTCAAACATTATAAAAACAAAATGAGGCAACACCAGCATTAATTCTAATATATTGGTTACCTTTGGTGGGGAGGCAGAATTTTTGATCAAGCCATGAAAATCTGAGGAATTGCAACAGTTGGGGTAATGTACAGTTTCATAGGAGGATGAGTTAGTAGATAAGTAAATCAAACTACTCTTTCTAAAAATTAATAGAACTTTAGTTTACTATTTCTTAGCATGTAAAATATGTATAATTTTCTAATAAAATATTTACAAATTTTAAAAAAGTTGTTTTGGTTATCATTAGCTTTATGTTAAGTTTTCAGTTGACAGTTGACAAGAAACTCAGCTTTAACTTCTGTTTCCCTACAAGGTCTAGTGGATATAATGAATAAAGAGGAATGCAAGACTGAAAACACAGAGCGCTTTACAGATCAAAGTCTCTTCCAGGTGTAACAGTATAACAGAGGGAACTACAGAGGCCTTGGGTTTTTTGTATGTTTGTTTTTTTTTTTTTTTTTTTTTTTTTGCCTTAAGGAACAGATATGATCTTGTTCTTTTCCAGAAACTTTATAGACATTTTGGCTGGGCTGTGCACTGTGACAACATGGGAATATTTGCAGTTATATTTTCATAGCTAATAGACTGGCTCCAAATGGCCATGCCCATGTCTATAATGAAGCTGATAGTTGCCTGATGATTCAAAATCAACAGTATACAATGCATACTGAAGCATTAAAAAACAGATATGTTTATTTTCTACTGTAATTCCAGGTACTGAATGTTATCCTCTATTAAATCTATTTGAGAGTACATTTTCCCATAAGAGAAATTGTTCAGTTCTTTTAGTTTAATCTTTTATTCTTTGTTGATTTTGTTTATTTTTTTGTATTTTCCCTACAAAGTACTTCTAGATATATCAAAAGCAATTCAAATTGTAAGAAATCGACTTCTTAACATGAAATGGTGATGTTTTTGTTGGGTTATCATGATGTTCTGTATTTTGAAAAATGTTATAATAGATGTGAGAATTAATAGTGATTATTGTGTAGTTGTTGCTTTCTATGTGTTGGCCTCTGTTGGTCATACTGCAGAGGGGGACATTTTACAAAATATGTTAATATCTGTTGGTATTTTTCCCATGGATGATCTTCTCCCTTAAGTAGATTCTCCTCCACAACTTGACTTGATATCAAGGACAAGCTCTCCAGGAGGCTATTTTTAATGCTTGATAACTCACTTCCTTTCAGGTCTTCATTATGTGATCTTTTTTAAAAGATTTATTATTTATTTGAAAGTCAAACTTACACACAGAGAGAAGGAGAGGCAGAGAGAAAGAGAGAGAAAGTTTTCCATCCTCTGGTTAGCTCCCCAAATGGCAGGAACAGCTGGAGCTGCACCAATCCAAAGCCAAGAAACCACAAGCTTCTTCTGGGTCTCCCACACGGGTGCAGGGGCCCAAAGACTTGAGCCATCTTCTAATGCTTTCCCAGGCCACAGCAGAAAGCTGGATCAGAAGTGGAGCAGCCGAGACTCAAACTGTCACCCAGTGCTGGCCCTGTGACGTGATCTTTCCCAGGAAGAACCTGCCTGACTTCCATTTGAGGTCATTGCCAGTATGCTCTGGTCTCTGGTCTCTCCCTTCCTCAGATTAAGTCCAAACCAAGGCTAAAGATTTGTTTTCCCACAATGACTCTGAAGAGATAGTACAGATAAAATGATTCAGAGTCCAAGGTAGATCAACTTGGTAAAAGGGAACAACAGAAAGGCAGTCAATATATGTGAATATATGTTTTACCTTACCCCAACCCCATTTTTCACATAATTCATCATGTGTATACATCAAAAAGTTCATGGAACATTGAATTTAAAGATGTTTCTTTCAGTCCATAAAAAGTTTGAAATCCATTCATATGAAGAGTATTCCAAAAATCATGATAAGCATGTATTATGGGAAAAAATATGCACGGACTTAAACAAAATTGCACCAAAATAGGCTCATCTTTCATTCCTATTTTTCTTTGGACTTACTGAAGACCCCTCATACAATGATTCTAAAATGACTAAACTTGCAGAGAGCTATAGTCCTCCCCATACAGTTCCTGTTATCTTTCTCTGACACCTTCCTCATTTCATTTGCTTTTGCTTTCCTGTGATTATATGTACCAATAAAACATTTTTACACAAGCTTTAGCCTTGGGTTCTGTTTGCTAAGCCATCTTGGCTAAAACCAATGAAAAAGTGCACAAGAAATTAAATGAAGAATTGCTCTGGTTTTTGAATTCTAGAATCTCTAGAGAAAAGAAGAGGTGTGATGGCACAGAAATTTGAGAAATGAATGCAAAGAAAGAAATTGGAAAAAGCAAGAAGTGTGTAGGACTTTTTGCATTCCAAACATAAGCTCCAATAACCAGTCATGACATTCTTAAGTAGCTAACAAACTCCAAATGTTTTGCAGAAGCTGAGAACAATTAGGTAGGTATCCTTATCCCCAGGCACAGTATTCAGGAAGCTGAAACAGTTTAAAGGAGAAATCCTTGCTCCAGAATTTTAAGAAAAGTCTTTAGAATATAAGCATGGCCAAATGGCCCTTTCATTCAGAATTTCTGCAGTTATCATCTATAAATTAGAAAGACATTTGCCATGAAGCATAACAATAATGTATTCAATTTCAGAATTGTACTGATCCATTGATAGTACTAGTAGTCAATTGTGAATGCTGAGAATACCTCATAAACTACTTCAGCTCAATATTTCACTTCTATTATTAACTTATTAATACACAATTACGATTTTGTGAAGAAAATTGATTCTTAACTACTTTTTGCAAGTCATCTCTTCTATTGTAGAAGATTTCAATGACATTTTAGAAAATGTAAATTAATAGAAGAGATTCATGTAGTTGAGAATTGCCAGAAACACTTAAAACATTATTCTTCATTCAATATTTTTTTTTTCTAAACTGGTTTGCATACCAAGTTTTTTTAAAAATATGAGTCATGTTGGATAACATAGAAAACAATCAGTGTTAAAAAGATATCTGGCAAGGGTGCTATTACTATGTACTATAGACATATAATATAGCAGTTGAGTGTTACAAAATAATTCTCTTACATAAAATAATTTTCTATGAAAAAGCTTTTATCAGTGATAGACATGGAAATTTTACATAACTTTGTACCTGAAAAATAATATAATTTATTCCTAGGAAAAAACCTTAAGATGAAAAAAAAGATAATTATCTCTATTTGAATAGGAAAGGTAGCAATCCCAATAGGTTTATTGAGCATGAAAACTTGAAATGCTATAATGATTCGAAGGAATTAAATGATCCAGTCATGAATCACAAAGAGGATATAAATTACCAAGTGTTTGTATAATTGTAATGTACAAGTGCCCATTATAGTACATTAGTGCAGCAGCCTTCTAAAGAAATCCTGTAAAAGAGTTCTGCTATCAAACTGCAGAAAATATGTTTCTTCCCTCTGCATATATTAGTATTAGACCTTGCTATGGTTTGAATGTCCCTTCCAAAACTCAGGTTCAAATTTAATTGCTGTTATGATATTATTAGAGATGAAATCCTTAAGAGATAATTAATCTATGAGGGCTCTACTCTAAGGAATAAATTAATGTCATTATAACAGAGATGGATTGCTGTAACAGCCTGAGCTCAGTCTTATTTTCTGTCTCTGTCTTGTGCAGTATCATTTACCCTACTGGCAGGTTACAATGCAAAAGGAAGATCCTCACCAACAGAATGGTCTTGGATACACAAACCTCCATAACTGTGAGCTACATACATTCCTGCTTAATTAATTAATTACCTGTCCTGTAGTATTCTGCCATAAAATAAAAAAATTTTCTAAGATCATTCTTGTAGCTTTCCAAAATTTCTGCTCAATACAGTATTTTACTCTGTTGAAAATGCGATAAGTTTCTATTCCTATTACTTAAAAGTGAAAGGTAGACTTCTAGAGTAAGGTAGAGTCTATAAAACAGCCCACCAACAAACACATACAAAATTTTTAAACATACTTTTTAGTTCCTGCTTCATGCCAGCTATGTTCAGGGAATACAGAAATGAACCAAACATATAAATTAACTGCCATATTCTTTTGGAGGGCAATAGCTTACATTCTTTTGGAAGGTAACAGTGTAATATACAAATAATAGTGACTTAAGCAGAAAATAGTATATTAAACATATGGTATTGCAAAGAAAAACAAAGCAAGCTAAAAGTTGTTAGGGAATGGAAATGGCAAGTCATTTTATTTTACATGAGTAGGTTATGCCTAAGGTATGACATGTTGTTTGAGCAAAGACCCAAAGTAAGTAAGGGCAGATGATAAAGAAACATAAAGAAAAAGGATGTCCCAGGCAAGGGGAAAAACAAGTACATACATCCAGAGAGAGCAGCTTGTTGGTTTCACTTAAGGAAGTTCATGGAGATCATACAGATGTGAACAGGAGCAGAAGTAGTGATGTATCAATTTCTAGTACAGAGAAACGTTTTGAGTTTTTACTTAGTGTGAAAAAGGAAGATTTTGAAGGACTTTCAGCAGTGGAATAAAACCATACGAATTTATTTTTAAGTTCCTGTGTGAAGAACAGACTGGCAAGTAAGGAAGAGTGCAAAAAGTATAGAATGAGGGAACCAATTGAATGAATAACCCAGCCAACATATCCAGTTTCTTCCAAGCTAGAAGTGACAGAAGTGGTGAGAGTGGTTTGATCTGTCTATATATTTTAGCGGCAGGTTGATATAATTTTCAGACATGTGAGATGGACTATATCCAAGACCAATGTGCTGAAATGTAACAAGATTTATTTATTTATTTGAAATACACGCACACACTCAAAGAGAAAGAGAGGGGGAGAGAGAGAATCTTGCATTCACTGGGTCACTCTCCAAAAGGCTGCAACAACCAGGTTTGTGCCAGGCTGAAGCCAGGAGTCAGGAATGCCATCCTGGTCCCCATATGGGTGGCTCAAGTACTTAGGCCATCTTATGTTGCCTTCCCAATTTCATTAATATGTAGCTTAATTGGAAACAGAGCAACTGGGCTTCAAACTAGCACTACCATAGGGCATGCCAGCTACTTACAGCAGTATAACTGGCTATGCCATAATGCCAGTCCCTTGAAATGTGTTTATCATCACAAAGAGATGAGTGGAGTTTCCATTTCAGAACATGGAAAGAATTTGGAGAACTGTCCTTTTTTTATGAAATAGCACAATATTTACTAGGATTTGATAAGATCATGATTGGGAAGAGCAAATGCAGAGCTCAGCATATGGAAATATCATGGTCA